AAGAGAAGTTCAAACACCCATGAGGGTACGTTACAGAATGGCAAAAGCGCTTGAAGCATACATTTTCAGAACAAAAGCACATGCTTTAGCATTTGATCTCTTCCTTAAAGGTATTCTGGCATCAGCACTGACTTTGATAACCCTTCTAAAAGTCCCTGACTGTCCCTCTATTCCAGCCACTAGGAGGGTTTTTTCAAAGATGGCAGGAACAGCGGGATGCATGTGCTGCCTTTATGGTTCCACTGCAGGGACAGCGTGGCAGCTGAGTCAGGAGCACGCCAATTCTGTTGATTAATCCCTTGTTCATTCTCATATGGGAGGTAAATGAAGATGTATGTATAACTACAGGAACAGCAGGGAACTTTCTTAAAAATGCTGCACAGTTTTTCTTCATTAATATGTCACTGTGCAGTAAACACCACTGACATATTCCAGTAAAATAAGACATAAGAGACCTCTTGACCCTCTTGTCTTTATAAACAGTAGCCCCAATCAGTTGCCTCATGCAGCTTTGATTTAGTATCATTTTAGTTTTCAGTTTCCTCTGTTAAGGATTTACAAAAAAGAAGGAGCAGAAAAAGATAATAAGGATATAATGAGAGGGAGCATCTCACATGGACAGCAGACAGTAGCAGTGATGAGTATAATTGAATGTGTTTAGAAATATTTATTTAAAATATAGAATGGACTACTTTTTTTTAGCACATCCTGCGTTTTATTTTCATTGTTCTGGCCATTGGCTCTATGGCAGCCGCCACTGTTGTTTCGACAAACTTCTCACATGTTGTCACAAACACCTAGCGTTAAACCACGCCTACAGTTCATGCCAGTAGCTGCCAGTAGTTCCTTACAGGGACATTTATTTGTCTGGTACCACTGTGACTGGACACCAGTGTGTCGACTGAAGCCTGAAAAGATGGATTCTCACATGATCTCGTGAGCTTACGATTTCACAAGTCCAGCTGCCTCGCAAGGTTACAATCACAGCCTAACCAATCTGGGGGTCAGATTCAGATTCAGATGTCCAAACTCTGGATTTCTCTCTTGATCATCCTGTGTAACGTGTGTCAAATTATGTCAGTACTAAAAAAAGAGCAATTAAAGATCCTCTGCAAGGTAAGTACAGAATTACTGTACTTAAATCCCGAGCCCTGCTCCTGCTCATTTGTAAGGCCCGACGTTGAGTGGCTTGCATTTATCTTAGGTTTTTCTGTTTTGTCTATAGCCAAAATTCCTGGGATGCAAGATGTGAAACATCAACAGCAGGAGTGTGAATGAGACTCCAGGCGGCACCATCTGGATGTGTTATGCCATCACAGAATGATAAAAAAACATTAACTGGAAGAATATCTCCCCAAAGTTGAAAGGAGTTTTTTATATGCCAATATTTGAATCAATCATAATGAAGTACTAGAAGTGTTAGAGCAGACACTCAGCTACAGTCTGGATACAGGCGAAGGACTGTCTGTCTTGTAGAAGAAATTTGGAGAACAATTGGCTAAATTATCAGTTTAAAAGCTGTTGCAGATGTTTCAGGTATGCCCATAAATCACAATAAAAATCCACTACAGTGTATGAATATGAAATAAACTCTTAGATACAGATACAGATTTTGCTAATTCATTGAGTGAAAGAAAAGTTTACCTGCTCTTGATCATGCAAAATTATTACATAAAAATTAGCTTTATCAAAAGGATATTGTGAGTGCTTCAGTATTATCATGCAAGCTTCTCTACATGCTGTTTAACTGTAACAGTGTATTTGCAGCGTAGAAAAAGATTCAACACTTAATAAACTCTGCCTTGTTATGAAAGACCTATTGTTTTCCTAATTCTGTGCTCCTAATTGACTGTGGCAACTTGGATGTGGACAGCCGTTTCTCCAAGTGTTTGTGGCGGTTTCAGAGACTTCCCCAACAGCTTTGTCTGGGGCGGATGAATAAAAATGCCTGGCTCCCATCCGAGGCTCACCAGCAGGCCGACCAAATGAGGGCTAGAACATGACTTCTCTGCTGTCGACACAGCAAGAGCAGCCGGTTCCCCAGAGGAGCACTTTTAATGGGTCAGGTAATCAACCTCTGAGTCTCCAAACAGCTGCCCCACTTGGCTACATTCTGTCTTCTTTTACTAATTTTATGAAAGCCCTAGATATTCGGATATAAACAACACACAAAATATCTTACAGTGCTCCAAAAGACTACATTTGTAGCCTAGTTCCAGACCTCTGAATCAATGCTCGCGTCTCTGATTTGGTCAACATTTCAAATAAATGTCCCATCTGTTTGAGAGATGATTGATTTAACCAGGATTGGGGGCTACATAGCTAGCTAGTTACATCTAAATAGCCACAGTAAAAATGGCCATAACTTCATCCAGCAAGGATAAGCAAGTACACAAAATTCTGCATGTTAAGTTACAGAAATTCTTTCTTAAATCTGTTTTACTGCCATGATAAATATGAATTGCTCCTAACAACCATTACGTTCTGCTCAGTCACTCACAAATAGGCTAAGTATTGATTGGTATGGTTACGGTTAAAAGTTAATATTGCCTTCACCCCCAAAACAGATATCAGCTAACATGAATACATGAAGCTTCAAAGATTTGCCTAATTTCACCAAAATTTGTGAAAAAAAGTAAAACATGATGTTTTAAGAAATAACTCTTACCACAGGCGCTTCAAAAACACCTTGGCTGAGCGCAAAAAAATGGACTCCAGCAGATGAGTAAACTCTAGCTTCATTGTAAAGAAGTAGATAACTGAGTTTACTCAGGTTTACCCCCGACTGCACCCTTGCTCCATAGTTCTCTCATAGTCCAACAGCTAGCTAGGCAATCTATTTACCAGCATAGTACACAGCATCAAA